TTGTGTGAAAATTTCCCTATCTTTTCATTATTTTATGTTATATTTTAAAACTACATTTAATAATTAAAATTTTTATTAAGTATAAACCTCTCACTATCCCTTAAAATTCTAAGTTACCTATAAGAAAAATGAATGCCTAAACATATTTAAAAGGGAAATTGCCGTAAGAAAATAGAAGGAAAAGAAAACATACTCCTAGTTCTCCCATAAAAGATTTAATTCTAAATATTAAATTTTTTTACTAATTTTAAAAGGGTAGATTTCATAACCAAAATTTTAGTTATGAGTCCTACACACCTTAAATAAGGAAAGATTCAATAAATAGTATTTTATTTGAATTAAAGTTCTACATACCGCTAGTTCTCCCCGACAATATTTATTTTGAAATCCTAAATATTAAACTTTCTACTAATTTTAAAAGGAAGATTTCATAACCAAAATTTTAGTTATGAGTCCTACATAATTCAAATAAGGAAAAAATTAATAAATAGTATTTTATTTGATTTGAAAGTTCTACATATTAGGAAAATATTTAAATTACTATTTTGTTCAATGTGAACTTTACTTTTAATGGTAAAAAAGGCAAAAAATATTTCACTAAGTCATTCGTGTTTTTAATATAGTATAATATAGATATATAAATTATGTAATGGGGGTGTAAGCATATCCTAATTAAGTCAAAAGGCCACAAAAAGAAAATGAGTGACATACATTTTTATAATAGCAGAAGGGTCACTTAAACAGAAGGGGTCGTTAAGGGATCCTCGATCGAAACTAACAACCACAAAAATAATTCATTCCCCTAAAGTAGGCTCCTTATTAGGATAATGAGGTAGACATCTAGAGACGGTACTAGAATTTGAAGTTTATGGATTCGTAATTTGTCATCAAGCTTATAACTTGTCTAAGTTGTCTTAGTTACTGAGTTTGCAATTAAATTTATTTATATTTAATGAATTTTCTAATACAGGTCAATACAAAAGCTATTGGGTTTGTCCAACCCGCAAATGATCGTACACGTCATAATTTTAATTTGCAACTTGCAGTCTGCAGAACATTTTACGTGGAATCTCAAAAGATACATGCATGCTCTTCAATTTTTATCCCATCAAGATGATATAACATTAATGCATGCAACCATACCCATTGACTTTAATTAATTTATATTAAACTATACACTAGTTTTTGTTATTCTTCGAAACTAAACAACGCAGAATTCGAAAATGTTAGGTTCATTGTTTACTCTACTTACAAGAAAATTATATAAAACTAATACTATAACGGGAGAATTAATGGCGGAGTGAGTTTTAAAAGCAAGTGAGCACATGGCATCGATGCAATAGTTGGAAATATAATGAATCGTCTCTTTATGTGGTTAATTAACACGGAGAGTTTTAAGAGCAGGTGATCGAGCACATGCAGAGGCGGATCCACGATTTAAATCCTATGGGTTCAACTTTTGAAGTTTTTAGTGTTAACCCATTATATATTTAAAGTCATGGGTTCGTATGTATTATTTTTACAATTTTTAAATTTTTACATATAAATTTTTACTCCGCGTCAAAAGTTATGGGTTCAATTGAACCCATCAACGATGCACTACATCCGCCCCTGAGCACATGCATGGGGCAGTGGCCGATCGCGGCGTTGGTTAATTACAATTCAAATACAAATTTTACGTGTATATGCATGTTCTTTTTTTTTTTTTTTTTTTTTTGCTTAATTAATATGATTTGGACCGTCCATAAGTTTTAATTTCCAGTGGATGGTTTTAATTTTTTTTCTTTGATAAGAAGTAATTAAGAGGTCTATATATCCATGTGAACCCTTGTTATGGGGTCTTGGCCCTATCACTTTCTTAATTTAGAAAGTCAAATCCTTGTTCTAGTCTTTTATGACAAGTGGTGAATAGGTATTCACTATCATAATTAAAAAAGGGTCAGGAAGTAGGGTACATTTCCTCTTTGGTTTGTTACATATAGAGAATTAATCTAAGAGGAAAAAAGAAAAAGAAAAAAATTGAATAATTTTTGTTCAAAGTAGCTAAACCTGCTGATTTCTCTGTAGTAATACAATTTAAATATTTCTATATGATTAAGTGACACACTATAACTCTCATCATATGATTTCAGTTACTCTAAAACCTAATAAGTTAAAAAGACTAACATTGTGTTCGATATGATGCAAATATAAATATTTTCATATAAAACCTAATAAGTTAAAAAGACTAACATTGTGTTCGATATGATGCAAATATAAATATTTTCATATAAAACCTTGGAGAAACTTTATAAGTATTAAACAAGTAAATTCTTAAGAAATTTTTTAATTTGAATCTGTGGATATTAATTTGTGCGTCAGATTCACAAATAACTGAATCCTAATCCTATTTGTTTCGATGAATTAAACCCCGACGAATAGATTCCAAATCATTTTTTATAAAAAAAGATTACATATCATTAATGCAGTCAAACTTAATTAGTTTTCTTTGATTCTTACATGAGAGAGAACCGAACCTTTTATTCTAAAACTTACCACAAAAAATGAAAAAAACACAAAAGGGAAAAAGTGCATAACTAACAAGATAACTATAATAACGGTAACCACATATTATATCAAAATGCTTAATTATTTTGGAACATGAAGAAAAGTTTGACCAAGATTTACAAAGGAATTAAAAAATGAAACAACACATGAGACCACATGGAAATGGCATTTAGACTTCACAGCGACTATTAGCAAGAAAATAAGTCAACCTAATTATGGTTTCTGATATACCAAACTATAAATCTAATTATTAACATGTGTTATAGTTGAGATAATCATATGAATCATTTTGTTTAATTACTATTTCTACTTGTAATTCAAACTTCTAAATGTTCTCTTGACCAAACCCACTTCATTTCTTTAATTCTCTACAAAGACTCATCATGTAATAATAAAAAATAATAACTGTATAGGGCATTATTATTATTGTTATTATTATTCGTCTAGTTGATTTAGTTCCCAAAAAAAAAAACTATTTAAATTGTTTACCTGATTTGACCAAGAAGTGCTTTTGGACGGTTGTGCTGGATCAGATACTGACAAAAAAAATTCCAATTTTACTACAATGCCTATATAATATGTGACTGGACTTAAGACAATAAGGAAATAAAAGAACTGGAAAAAAAAACATGTCATTTTTAGTTTCAAATAATACTAACTCAAAAAAAAAAAAAAAAAAAAAAGGGATAGAAGAATTAAGGAAACGCGGTTCGGCTCCAAACTTGGTTGGTAATGCATAGATAAGAATTAAGAGTAGATCCAAAGTACTCTAATTTAAAGAATTATTTCTGATTATCAGCTAAATCCTTTCACAAGAATAAGATCAAATAAAAAATAAAGTTTTATTTCCTTGACATGTCAATTACATTTGAAATCAATTGGCAAAGTTTGCCAACTACAAATAAACAATGACTAGGTAGAAATAATATCGACTACCTAAACTAACTAACATCAAAATTAAAGTCGCATTTATAGTACTAACAAATCTCCAGGTCCTGAAATAGAAAAAAACATATCCCAAGTCTTCATTCGAAATATATACACTTTTTGCGGAATAGAATTTTATGAAAATGTAAATTTTACATAGATGGGAAATAAAATTAGCATTGGTGAATGCGAAAGAAAACACATATCAATTTCGAAACAGAAAATTTAAAAAATAAGTACTTCTCAAAATAAGCCAAACAAGATATCTATATGTCTCATAATTAGGGGTGTTCAAACCGAACCGGAAAACCGCACCAAACCGAAAAACCAAACCAAACCGATTAAAAAACCCGACTAGGTTTGGTTTGACTTGGTTTGGTATTGAGTAAAAAAACCCGAACCAAACCGACATATAAATATATAAATTTTATTTATATTTTTAAGACTTTGTAGTGATTTTTCTTTAGAAAATGTAGAAATATTTGGGATCCTCTCATGTATTAACCTTGAAAGCGTAAATTAACAAAAAATTATTGTTAGACGACTAAGAAAATAACTATCATGTGTTACTAAAAAATTTCTCCCATTAGAATATTTTAATAGATCATATGTTTGTCAATTTTTTCCATATTTACTAAACANTCTCCCCTGAGTCACCTGGTTGCAATGTAAGAAAATTGAAGATTCAACATTCCACCATTGAAGGCCATTCAAAGCTTGGCTTTCAAAATAAGATTTTTTGAGTTTGTTAGTGTTTGGATTGGGTGTTGTTCCAATTGATTGAAAATATCAAAAGGAGTTCAAAAATTAAATTTGAAGTGATTTGGAGTAGATTTGAGCAAGATTTGAGTTAAAATTTCAGAAAAAACGCAAGGAAGAAGACGAAGTCAGTTTTTTGTATAATTATGTATAATCTTGTATAATAGTGTATACGAGTGTATAAACACATCTTATACACCATTATACACTTTTATACACATTTATACAAGTGTCTGTAGACGAATTTCTTCCACGATTTTCAGCTGCAATTCTTGTTCAAAATCAGTCCAAATCTCCATTAAATGACTTCAAATTTTATATACAACCTCCTTATACTATTTCTAACAATTCTAGATAATACCCACTCCAAATTTCTCACAAAATCAAATTCAGAATCTAAACCCACATATTTGAGCTTGTTAAAAATCTAATTTTCACCATCCAAATGGATTTTGTTTGTTGAACTAATATTTGGGTTACAGTTACTGATTCGAAAATTAACTTAAAAGCTTGAACAATCTTTTTTAAAAATTAAATAGTAATTTTGAGAACCTATTGGAGTTGGATGTTGAATCTTAGCCTATTATTTTTGGGCTAGTTGGTTGTAAATTGAAATATGGGCTATAAAATTGAAAAGTAGGGATCCCAGTTATTCTTATGTGAAAATTTCCCTAATAGTATCTCCCCTTATGGATGTGGTAAATATTGTCTACCTTTATGAATAGTACTTCATTCTGACTTAAAAACTGGGGACATAATTCTGCTATTTCCGTATTTCGCAGAACCACAGAATTCGAGGCTTGCTTGAGAAATGCTCTTTAGATCATGAAGCAAGGATGGAGAATTTACAGAATGAGATGAGAGCAAGAGCTTTATCTGATGCAAAATGGAGGCAAATTCAGCAAGATCTGAACCATTCTGTAAGTATGATTGCCTGTTATCAGAAAGCTGTTGATAATTAGTTCAACTTCAAATTAATGATTCTCATTACATGTTACAAAATGATGATCAGTTAGACATTGACTACTCTGTATCTCCTGGTGATTTGCAACCATTAGAGATGATCGGCGAACAAGGTGATGCTCTTAGAGGAAGATATATACGTAGGTTGACTGCTGTTATTATTCAGCATGTACCTGCCTTCTGGAAAGTTTCTGTTTCAGTTTTCAGTGGGAAATTTGCAAAGGTAACGAGACTCCCTACCCCCTGTAGTCTATTCATCAGGTTGGTGCAAATATTCTAAGGATAAGATTAAGATATCCTCTGTCATCTACCAAGTCAGTGAGGACCAGATAGCTTCGTGGAGTAAATTTGATGCACTGATGCACTTTTAGAACAAAGTTGTTAAATTAGTACTCGCCATATATAGTTGATCTCACTTTTCATTTTCCCCTTAAATTTGTTTTCTCAAAATCCATTAGTAGCGTCAATTTTGGATCACATTACTCTGACTAGCTTGTCTACACATTACTCTGACTAGTTTGCTAAATTGGACATATTTCTCATTCTTTCATCTTGTCCAATTTAAATCAGATTGGTTGATTTGCAAGTTTCTAGGAGAACTCTAATTCTCGAGAGTATGCACAATCTTTGAAGATTGAAAAGTCTAAATGGTTTTATAATGTAAATTTTCTAAGCTTAGATGTGGGCATTTAAGATAGACACTGTGGTTATTTTCTTTTACTTGGAGGTTTGGATGTCACATGCTGGGTTGCTTTGTACTATGACGCGACCATCTATGATTAGATAGCTGAAATCTGATGCTCCACTGCCACACTGAATTTTGGCTGTGTCCAGCTGTGACAGCCATCTAACTGTTCCTTTTGATTATAATTTCTCTGTCATTGTTTTTGTAGCGTTTGGTAACTTCAAGTAGTATATTTCTTGGAATAGGTCAAGATGATTACCATTTGTTTCTAGTACTAGAGAAATTTGTTGCTTCTCCAATTTTTTGGGGATGTGCATCAATGTTGCAGTCTTTCCTATTAATATTTATTATTTGCTTCCATTTGCTAGCTTTTAGATTTTAATGGTTCTTTTTCCTGTAAATAGACTTCCCAAGTGTCTTCTGATTCAAATGTCAATGTCTCTGCAAAGAGAACTGAAGAAAAAGTAGGAGACGGAAAGTACTCAAGTCATTCTCTTGATGAAGTTGCTGGAATGTTGCAGAGTACTTTATCAGCTTATGAATCCGAGGTAAATGCTTCCTCTTGATGGCAGGAGAGTAAGTTGCCATGGGTTATGCTTACTTTTAGACGCAGGTGCACCTAGTTGTTTCCCTTTTCTGGCTGTTGATAGAGGAAGTTGTTTTTGACACTACCACTTTGGTTTATTATTCTTCAATTTTGAGGCCATCTAGTGTTGGTCTTTATCTTCTATCTTTTGTATTACTCTCTGGTGAGACGACAGCACAATTTTTGCCACAGAACAAATTTAACCACTGCCTAATTCAGAACAGATTCCTGATATCAACAACAACAACAACAATAACCCAGTAAAATTCCACAGGTGAGGGGTTTGGGGAGGGTAGTGTGTACGCATACCTTGCCCCTACCCGATAGAGTAGAGAGGCTCTTTCTGATAGATCCTCGGCTCAAGAAAACGAACAAGACAAAAAGAGACAATATATCAGTACCATCAACAGAAACCATAGAAATAATAACAACATCATAAGAGCAAGAAAATGGATGAAACACAATAATCATAACCAATAAATAAGGCCCGGTGCTATGAAAAACGGACGAATAGAGTGAACACAATATTAACCCCTAGCAGTCTAAGACAAACCCTATCAGACTAGCTACACCCGGTACGAAGAAGAAAAATGCTCAACTACCTCCTAACCTACAACCCTATTGCTCGACCTCCACACCTTCCTATCAAGGGCCATGTCCTCGAAAATCTGAAGCCGCGCCATGTCCTGCCTGATCACCTCTCCCCAATATTTCTTAGGCTGCCCTCTACCTCTTCTAGGGGTGTGCATTCGAATCTGTTTATCGATAAATCGAATCGATTATTTGTTATCGAAATCGAAATCGAAAAAATCGAAACCTTATTGAAACGATAACGATAAGCATATGTACAAATCGATAATCGATAAGTAATTATCGATAAGGGTCAAAATCGAATCGATAAATCAAATGCACACCCCTAGACTGTAGACACTTGTTAAATGAGTAATTACCTATTTGTGTAGATTAATATAACATACAGAATGTATATATATTCCGCTACTATTTTGGAAGCGGCTATACAATATTATTTTCCCTAATCTATACCCTTTCCTTTACCCTAAGTCCCTTACCCTATTATTTCCTCTACCACATTTAAGGAATGATCATATTTAAAGATCAAGGGAATGAAGTTCAAATTAATGGAAAACAGAATTAGCTGTGATAATGTGTTTTGTTTTGTTTTATTTTTTTTATACCGTTGGAGTGTTGGTGGCATACATTTGATCCCTTACTTTAGTTCTGTTGCATGTGCTTGTTGACACAATTTTTATATTATAAATGGTGTTCGTCTTATTTTAGCTTCTTTTTGTCCATATTAGTTAGGCGCGTTTATAGCGATATACTTTCCGTGGAATCCCGCAAATTTTCTTATTGGTGTAATCGATAACCGAATCGATAAGCCCCCAAAATCGATAAATCGAAATCGAAAAAATCGAAACCTTATTGAAACGATAACGATAAGCATATGTACAAATCGATAATCGATAAGTAATTATCGATAAGGGTCAAAATCGAATCGATAAATCGAATGCACACCCCTAACCTCTTCTCGTACTCACCAAAGCCAACCGCTCACACCTTTTTACCGGGTCATCAGGGCTTCTCCTCCGCACATGCCCGAACCATCCGAGCCTCGCTTCCCGCATCTTGTCATCTATAGGAGCCACGCCCACCTTCTCCCGGATATCTTCATTCCTAATCTTATCCATCCTAGTGTGCCCGCATATCTACCTCAACATTCTCATTTCTGCACTCTCATGTTCTGTATATTAGTATATGTGAGTTCTTAACCGGCCAACACTCTACCCCATACAACATGACTGGTCTAACCACCGCTCTATAAAGCTTACCTTTGAGTATCGATGGCACTTTCTTGTCACACAGGACTCCAGGTGCTAACCTCCATTTCATCTATCCCACTCCTATACGGTGTGTGACGTCCTCGTCGATCTCCCCGGTCCTCCTGGATAACCGAACCAAGGTACTTGAAACTGCCTCTCTTGGGGATGACCTGTGATCCAAGCCTCACGTCCATGCCCGCTTCTCTCGACTCGGCACTGAACTTGTACTCCAGGTATTCTGTCTTAGTCCTGCTCAACTTGAAATCCGGGCCTGTCTCTAAACCTCCAGCCTCTTGTTAACACCGCCTCACGTCTCATCAATTAAAACTATGTCATCAGTGAATAACATACACCATGGCACCTCCCCCTGAATATGTCGTGTCAGTACGTCCATCACCAGGGCAAATAAGAACGGGCTGAGCGCAGATCCTAGATGTAACCCCATAACAACTGGAAAATGCTCTGAGTCGCGTCCTAGTGTCCTAAACAGAGTCTTAGCTCCGTCATACATGTCCTTGATTGCTCTAATGTAAGCTAGTGGCACACCTTTTGCCTCCAGGCATCTCCAGAGAACCTCCCTAGGAACCTTGTCATACGCTTTTTCCAAGTCAATAAACACCATGTGCAGATCCTTCTTCCTATCCCTGTATTGTTCCACCAACCTCCTAATAAGGTGGATAGCTTCCGTGGTAGAACGACCCGACATGAACCCGAATTGGTTGTCGGATATAGACACCGTCCTCCTCACCCTCACTTCCACCACCCTATCCCAAACTTTCATGGTATGACTTAGTAATGAAAATAACATTAAACAGCCCAGTCAGCCACTCCAAGCCTGCTCTACCCACACACCTCCAAAATTCTACCGGAATTTCGTCTGGCCCGGTTGCTCTGCCCCAACTCATCTTACGCATAGCCCTCACGACCTCCTCAACTTTAATGCGCCTACAATACCTAAATCCTCGGTGCCTCTCCGAGTGCCCCAACTCACCTAGCACAATATCCCGGTCCCCCCTCTTCATTCAGAAGTCTATGAAAGTAAGTCTGCTATCTTCGCTTAATCTGAGCCTCCCCCATCAATACTCTACCGTCCTCGTCTTTGATGCACCTCACTTGATCCAGATTCCTGATATTATAATCCAGATTAAAAGGGACTAGCTCAGACCTCATTGAAAGATAAAGACAAACAGGTAGTTAGGAATGGCTTTCCCGCAAAATATGAAACGTCAAGATGATTTCAGGAGAAAAAAGATCCGCTGGTCTATGGCATAAGTTTATAGACAACTTTAGCTCTTTTACTTTTTTTTAACAGAATGTAGCATGTCTTATGTGAATCTCTATATCCATCCCTCACTATTTGGGCCCCTCTGTACTTGATGTGATCATTTCTAATCTTCTCCAATCTTGTATGATTTTATTCTTATCTAAAAGAACTGCATTTTCACAGCACTCATCTAGTGGACAGTTTGGTCTTAGAGGCCGGACATTCACTTCAGTGTATATTGCTGGTCTTTTGCTTTACTCTTTTTAGGCATCTTCATATTGCATAGAATTCGACACTCCATTTCAACTGTTCTATCTTAGAGCTTGTTTGGCCGAGAAAGTATTTTTTTTTTGTCAAAAAAGTACTTTTTGGAAAATTTAAGGTGTTTGGCCAAAATGAAAAAGTACTTTTGAGCAGCAATAGAAGCAATTTTTCTACTTTTGGGCAGAAGCTACATATTCTAGCTTCTTCCAAGAAGCAGAAGCAGAAAATTTATTTGTTCAAGACAAAATAACCTTACAATAAATTTATATTTTCTAAATTATCTCTCATTAATTTAGCATTTTTCTTTTCCTTTTCCTTTTTATTTTTATTTCTACTGTACATTTCTTCTCTTTTTTATTTTAATCAAATTTTTATTCTCTTTCTCTTATTTCTAAAAGTAGATTTTAAATTTGTATTGAATGATGTATTTTGGCATATTTAAATTATCATTTAAACAATAAGTAATACCAAGCACTCAATGTTATTGATTTGGAATAACTACGTTTTATATTGATTAGAATTTTTAATTTATATTTTTACTTTACGTTTTATATTTTAATCGAATTCTTTTCTAGTAAATATTAAATTATTTTTCTATTCTAAATAATACTAATCGTAAATTGAACCTTCAAATTTTAATGTCCTTTTTCGTAATTTGACACTTAAAAGTGCTTTTTAAAAGATTGGCCAAACACAATGAGCTTGCAAAAAACACTACTCAAATGAATTGGCCAAACACATACTGCTATTTTGCAAAAGTACTTTTTCAAAAAGCACTTTTCAAAATAAGCAGTTTTCGGCAGCTTGGCCAAACGGGCTCTTAGTTCTATATGTTACATCCTCATCTATCATTTCCATTCTCCTTGAAGATTGATTCTAGATCTGAATTGTTTCTGTTTAGGCTCCAATAATTCCATCCAATCTCACTTCATCTTCGTTCTTGTGCAGGTTGAACTTGCAATGCATAGATTATGTCTTTGCTTTCTAAACCCTTCTATACTGCTTTTTTTGACTTCCCTACTGGTTTCGTCAATTAAAATAATATCATTTACAAATAGTATGCACCATAAAACGTCATCTCAAATACTATTAATTAGCTCATCTAGGATAAACAAGCAAATTCTTAAGGCAATTCCTTGGTTTACTCCCACGGTCTCTGTATCTCCTCTCTCATTGTTCTTATATTTGTGACCTTTAATTAATATTTATCTTTGATGGAATTTATATTTGATGTGGACTCTTTTTCATGCTAAGCACCTATTCTTATCTCATTGTTCTCAAATTTGTGACCTTTCATTCATAGTTATCTGTGATGATATTTATATATTTGATATGGTTTCTTCTCATGCCAAGCACCTATCAAAGAACTTTCGTGGTGCTCTATTGCATGCTTTCTCTTGATCAATAAATATCATGTGAAGATCCTTCTTGCTCTTGTTATATGTTCTTCGTAGCAAAAATATAACCTCAGCTGTAGTTTTACTAGGCATAAGCCACATTTGTCTCTATCACCCTTGTCTATGCCCTTTAGTTCTTTCCCACATTTCAACCTATGGTTCATAACTTTAACCACAATAGTATGTTGCAATCTTGAATTTCTCCTTTGTTTTTATCTAATAAAATCAAGATGCTCTTTCTTCACTCGTTTGACATTTTTTCACTCCATAATATGACTTGGTTAGGCACACTACTGTGCTCTTCGCCTCTTCCTAGCCATTTCCATACTTCTACAGGGGTACCATCTAGACCATAGAATCTTTTAACCATCATATTCGTTCTTTTAAAGAGGCATAATCATATGAATCTAGCTAGGCTTCCGTCTGTTCTGGTCGTATAATAATCATCTGAATGTAGCTAAGGCTTCCGTCATGTCAAAACTTGTTAGGACATAGACACTCTTGGTTTAACTTTTACCTCTCTTCTACCTCTCTGAGGCTAGCTTATATATCTTATGTTTTCAATTTTTGTCAAATGAGTAGCAAGCTGAAACTAGTCTTTTGTTGCACCAACCTTAACTTTTTTTTACACCAACCTTAACCATCTCTTGTAATTTCCATTCCACCTTGTATAGTTCTTTTTGTCCACCAGTTTTTAGTCTGTTTTAGCTGTCACTCGCTTTGAAATAGATTTGGTGCTTTTTCTAGGAGATTGGATATAAGTTTTTGTGATTTAATGTGTATTCATGCTTCTTCCTAATACAATGTTGAAATTAATCTCACAGGTTCAAAACACATTTCGAGATCTTGAAGAATCAAATATTCTTCGCCCATACATGAGCGATGCCATAAAAGAGATATCTAAAGCATGCCAAGCCTTTGAAGCCAAAGAATCAGCGCCTTCAGTTGCTGGTACGTAATTTTCCAGGTTGATGTACGCTGTTATTTGTGAAATGTTCCTGAGTTATTTCTCCTGTGATTAACAGTTACAGCATTGCGCAACCTTCAGTCTGAGGTCACAAAAGTTTACATATTGAGGCTCTGTTCTTGGATGCGGACTACAACTGAGAAGATATCAACAGATGAATCCTGGGTCCCAGTATCTATTTTAGAAAGGAACAGATCTCCATATACAATTTCTTCCTTGCCTCTGGCTTTCCGTTCAATTATCACATTTTCGATGGATCAGATCAATCTGTAAGTTAAAGATGTCACAAACTACACACCACAGTAAGCTGAAGGGTCTTCCCTAGCTGGCTTCTTTTCAATATGCAAAATGCTTGTTCAATTGCCTTTGATGTTTGTCAGGAAGTAATTTAATTTAGCGTAAATTATTTAATAATTGGTATATGTGCATCCAAATGTATGTGTTTGCGAAGCTATCAAGAGTGATTCAAGTATGCATGGGCTCGCTCATCAGTACAAACAGAAAAATATACGTTAAAAGTAGATTCTTGTGTTTCCTCAGTGCTGTTGACACACACTCGCGTCCAGGTTCCTGCTAAATAGGGGGAATTTATTTGATTTGAATTATACCGTGGTTTAGTGATACTTACTATAACGAGTTGTGCTTATTGATACCATTAACTATTAAGACAACTCCTCCTTGAAGGTTTATAAGTCACAAACAATTGATTGAGTGCATACATGATTTCTTGTAAGCAAAGATGTAGCGTCTTGTCTTCTTAAGTTGTTTGGGCAGTGTAATATAGGCCTTTGGGAAACAGGCTTGAAATTTTTACTTGGAATGAAATTTGAAAAATATTGGAACTTTTGGTCGGTTGTTACGCTCTCATTTCTGCAATCTTGTTCTGTCCAGAATGATTCAGTCTTTGAGGAATGAGGCTATGAAGTCAGAGGACATATTCATGCAGCTTCAAGAAATTCAGGAATCTGTTAGACTTGCCTTTTTGAACTGTTTGCTTAATTTTGCCGGTGTGTAAAGCAGTTGATACCTTTTTCTTTTCTTTTTTAGTTGATACCGCAGCATTTCAGTAGCTGATAGTCATTGGATGATTGGAATATGATACAAATTTTTGCATTCTGATTAGGCCAACTGGGGCACACTGGCAATCAGCTTCTGGAAGAATATAATAGAGAAAGTTTACATTTTCAAAACGGACATGCTGAACCAGAAGAAAAATCATCGGATCCTCTTCCTGGAAGTATTGTAGATCCACATCGACAGTTGCTGATGGTTGTAAGTAATATTGGGTATCTCAAAGATGAACTTGCTCTTGAATTGTACAGCAAGTACAGACGAACTTGGCAGCAGCCTAGGTACAAAAATGGCTCTCTAGTACTTTATAGCTTGTAAATCAAGTTAAAATAGTACAAGTAGCTCTCTAGTACTGTATGGCTTGTCTATTTTGTTTGATTTTGTTCCGTCGAATATAATGTCAGAAGCATTGGAAACAATACACTCAATAGGAGTTGACAGGACTAAGGGTACTTCAGTATATCAGTGTGTTGCAGAACTACATCCCAAGTTGGTTGCATAAAGAGTGGCAATTCAATGGGCAACAGGATGTTTTATGTTTTCCCAACAACTGCAATTGCATACTTTCTATAAGATAACCATGGGAACTAAATTGACTAGTTAAGGGCCTGTCTCTCTTAACTTTTTAAATGGAAAAGTTTTTGCCCAGGAATTTGAAAGCTGTCTTTGAACAAAGAAGGATTTATGTGCTATTAGGACTTAAAATCTTCTCTTGAGTAGTTCTTTTCAGCAGTCATCTTGTATTTAGAGACTTTCACAAGATAATATTTTGTCGAGCTACCTAACATTTAAATTATCATCATACTATCTAGTGTTGTTAAAGGCCCACCTGAAATCGCTTCAGTCGTGAGGGTTAGTGCAATGCAGGGCACTTCATCTTGCTTAATATATGCTTTAGTACAGGCGCCACACGTACCTTAACCTTCGTGTGCATTTTCTTGAATATAAAAACAGTAAACAATAAAATGGAAAAGACAAAGTAATGTACTGATTGTTAAGGATGCATCGTGGGTGATTATTTTAGTGGTTAGGAATAGGAAATTAGATAATTAGTAAACAAAAGTAGTCTCTAATCTGAATTAGAAAATCTTTATTAGAAATTTAAAATTTCTTTGATTAACATGGTTTTCTTCATATGTTCCAATTTATTAAGGTTCTTTAATCATTTTATAGAATTGTTTGTATTCTTAGTTATTTTTTCTTGCATTACATATTTATATTTTTTGTTTTGCTGTCCATTATGTTTTTTGTTTACTTTAGCTCTCGCTTTGTACTTAAAGCCTTAGCAGACACTTGGCGTTTTTCTATGTTTTTTTCCCTTTGCTGAAGCTGATACTGAAGGGCTATGCTACCTTTAGGGGTAAGGATGAAGAGGATGGTGATATGCAAGATCTGATTACGTCTTTCTCTGGGCTCGAAGAGAATGTGCTTGAGCAGTATACTTTGGCGAAGGTATGAGTGATTCATATCTTCAGCAGGCCAAAAGCTGTTATATACGTACTAAGTTCCATACATATGTGTGTAATGTTTGCACTATTTCATCTATAATAGACATCCTTCTGTTTTGTTTCACTTTTTTCTTAAACGGCGTGTGTGACAGCCTACATTAGCTCCCAGTATACTTTGTGCTTGATATTGGTTGAGTACATTTTTCTAAAAGAACAGGCGATCGCCTCTTAAACTTTGTCTTATACCTGAATGGAGGATCACTATTTATACTATTTTTGGAATATTGTCAGACAAATTTGATTAGAACAGCTGGTGTAAACTATTTGTTGGAGGGTGGTATACAATGGGGTGCTGCACCAACAGTTAAGGTGATAACTCTTTCTCATTCTAGCCTTCTATAACAGAAAACGTTTTCCACCTGGAATAATAGCACAATTGTCTGTGTTGCAGGGAGTGCGAGATGCTGCTGTGGAATTGCTACACACTTTAGTTGCTGTACATGCAGAGGTTAGTTCTCCTACGCTTTTCTGGGGATATTGTTGCCCGCTCATTTATTTTTGGTGGATGGAGGATTCAATTGATTTATCTGGTGCAGAGATAAAAGTTTAAACCTCACATCTCTATCTGTACATGGTGGCTTTCTTAGCAAAACTGCTCTTCGGCATTGCTCAGTCTAACTTCCTAACTTTGGATTTTCTCTTACAGGTCTTTGCCGGTTGTAAGCCTCTATTGGATAAGACACTTGGTATTCTTGTTGAAGGCCTAATAGACACTTTCCTAAGCCTTTTCCATGAAAACCAAGAAAAAGATTTTACGGTTTTAGACGTGAATGGCTTTTGTCAGCTTATGCTTGAGGTCAGTTAAACTGCTAGTGCTTCAAGGAATCACCTTTCTGCTGTTAGACAGCTTCTCTTTGGATGGTGTAAATACAAGTTGGTTCTTTACTTTTGGTTCTTTGACTGCTTTTATATTGCTTAAGGGTTTTTGCCCTTTGCGGCAATTGGAAGCAGAAAAATACTTAAAAACAAAAATGCAGAGGCTTTTGTTTCTCTAGATATATTTATGGACTACCAAAAGTTGATAGAATAAAACGCGGAACTGAAATGGAGAGGTTATGCTCTCCCATGACTAAGTGGCTGGCGTTGACTCTGATAGTCTTTATGGCTTAATCTTGCAGCTTGATTATTTCGAGACCATATTGAACCCTTATTTTACACATGAAGCAAGGGAGTCTCTGAAAACTTTACAAGGGGTCCTCTTAGAGAAAGCGAGTGAGAGTGTGACAGAGACTATTGAGACTCCAAGTCATAGCCGTCGGCCAACACGTGGAAGTGATGATGTACTTCAGGATGAAAGGCAGCAAGGGACGTCTGTATCACCTGATGACCTGATTGTATGAAATACTTCCTCTTTATCGACTTTTTTTTTCAGATTCTGGGACATGTCTTTTCTCCATGCAATCTGCTTAGACATAATTAGACATGCTATCACATGGTTCAGTCCAGCCAGCAAATTTGCTGTTGGCATGATATTTGCCTTGCACCAAAAGTTAACTAGTATAGACATCATCATTAAAGTGTTTAGCCACCCTTCCTTGCATACCTTTGAATTGTTGGAAATTTCACAGGCTCTTGCGCAGCAGTATAGTTCTGAGCTACTTCAATCTGAACTTGAGAGGACCCGAATCAATACGGCATGCTTTGTGGAGTCAATTCCTCTAGACTCTGTCCCAGAATCAGCAAAAGCAGCTTATGCTTCTTTTAGAGGATCAATGGATTCTCCTGGTAGAGATTTTAGAGGATCTCAAAATATTGGACCAGCAAGCTTCTCAAAGCATAGACATCGATAAATTATAGGTCTATTTTCTAGTCTCAAGGTATTTCCTCCATAATGCTTGTGCAGTTGTAGTAAAGTAAATTTACACTCTTTTCTTGGATGAGAGACATTTGGCTGATAATTTAACTATAGTCACAAGCCTCATTTTAATTTCAGTTTTGCTGATAATGAAACCTTAATCACAAACTCATTATAACTTATTCCTGTTTCTAGGACGAGTTGAGTTTAACAGTACCAAGGATGTACGATGATTGGCTGTTGGACGACAGTCTTATGTCCTGTGTTTAGTGATTTCAAGTTTTCCAGTTACCATCCCATATCTCGAGCTGCACAGTGGGGAAGCCTCTTCATTCGAGTTGTGAGACACATAAGACCATAGGTGATTTGACAAATTAATGTCAAGGTGTATCGCACAAGTTTTCGTTCTATCCAAATTAGCAAGGGCCATAGTATTGTATGGCTTCCAATTTTGTTTACTTTTAGAAGTCAGCTTCAGCTGCTTTGATCTAAGATAATCTTTTGGAGAAGGAATTGGTCTTCACTAGATCAGTATAATAATGATGGGAAAGCAAGGTATTTCTCTTTGGGAAATATGGTGTTTTAAAAAGCCCCTTCAGTTTCTGTATTTTCTTGCCAGAAAATTTTGGTGAAAAGTGGGGAGTTACTTGCAGTTTCTCTTGTTTCATTATCCAGTTCATGCAATGATGCATCCTTTTTAAAGCTAGTGATGGTATTGAAGGTTCTATCTTACGTGCAATATGTTAGCAAACAGTAGGTTTGGATTTGCGCAATTTTTGAGTTTCATTTTTTCACTATCACTATGTTGAGCATTTAGAATAAAAGAAATGTACTCAGTAGAAGTGTGTCAAAGTTTTATGAAGCTACTTTTGTGCCATTAATTTAAGAGTTAAACCCCCCCGAACTATATCCCCCTTCATAATAAAATCCCCTAGTCTCATTCTTACTAGTGCGTATGATACACGCTCTAAATAATTTTTAAAACCTGCCATGTGGCAGTCCACGTGGATATTTAATTATGTTAATCTTAAAAACAGGCTTAATTAATATGTTAATCTAATTACGTGAAAAAAGAAGAAGGGAATTTTGTTACACCAGTCCGTCATTTACTCTATTTGCTCTCATTGGAGATGAGCTCTAAGCAGCGATTCTCTTCTTTAATCACAGTTTCTACCATCGATTACTCTGTCTATTGTTGCTGCTATTTGAAATGGGGATTATATCTAGGGTTTTGTGATTGTTTGTTGAGATTTGTGATTTTTGTCACTAAACAAAGATAGAGAAGGAGAAGAACAGAAACAGAGAAGACGAGTAAGTATTCAAATATTGAATTCTTTGTCCTAACTCTCTTCTTGCCTTGTTATTAGTAATTTATTTTCTCGGTGCTACTTTGTTGGGGATTTTGTGTTCCTTCTTTCAAATAAATTTGGGTAAGAATGAAGGATGGATAAAACAAGAAAGATAAGAAATAAACTCAACAATAACAAGAGAACAAGAGAGAATTTCAAATGGTCTAAGATGAAAAAATAGAGAAGAAATGTGAAAATAATGGAAAAGAAAGGTCTAATATAAAGAAAAAGAGAGAAAATATAAGTTTTTAAAAAAAGAGGCTAGTTAGCCGTTAGTTGCTGACAGATAGGCCCATTTTAATGGTTATTATCACCCTTCACGCACTTTTAGGCGATTTATTTCACACAATATGTCACATAAGCGACGGGGGAGAGGGGGGGGGGGGGGGTAGGGAGAGGTTATTATGAAGGGGATATAGTTCAGGTGTGTCACGACCCCAGTTCACCCTCCATGAACATGTCGAGATGGCACCTAGTCCCTATGACTAGGTAAGCCTAACAATGCGGAAGATAGACCATAATTGCGGAAGAAAATAAACAAAACTGAAATGGTAAAATAAAACGGTGTTAAGGTGCTGCTCGGCACATATCACAACAATTCTCGAAGCTAACAAATTCCCAAAATCCGGAAACTCACAAATCACAAGCTAAGGGGATACATAAGAGGCTCTGACTCAAGAATATCTATACAAATGAGAAATACTGGAAAGCTATACTTATTACAGAAGGCTGGAAAGGGACTCCTCGGTCTGCGGACGTAGCAGATATACCTTGAAGTCTCTACGGTACGCTCCTTCAACGGCTAACAGAACTGAGCGGAGTACCTGTATCTGCACACAAAAAAACGTGTGCGAAGAAAGAGTAANAGATGATAAACAAATAAATCAAACAAGTACACATCTACCAAACAGTTTCAGAACTCGAATGAGACCACAAAAGGAACTAGGCTTTTAACATGCTTAAGCAAATAGAAGAACAATATGAGCAAAACTTAGCAAAATCACAAACACGTTAATATCAGAGATCTTTGAAAAGAAAAACTTAAAGGAAAACCCTAATCGGAGAAGATGAAGGGTCGTTTTGAAAGAAAGTTGAAAACTTTCGAGAAAACACTTAAAACACTCATAGCAAGTACAGATCTAAAGTAGATCTATAAGAAATCGAAAGGTCTTAAAGGTTAGGATTTCGAAAAACCCAGAAAAGGTGAGAAAGGCCTTGAAAGTTACCGATCTAACCAGAAGAGTCAAGGATCTGACTCGAACGGCCATGGCTGGCCGGAGAAAAGTCAGGGATGACCGGAGAAAAGCCATGAACAGCAGTCGATCAAGGGCTGGACCAGACTCCTTCGAGGTCTGGTCACGAAACCATAGAACCCAACACATAGGAGCCATGGAAGACTGGTACAGGCCTCAAATGAAAAGGTCATAGATTAGGCAGGTATTAGGGTGGGGTGAGAGGGCGGCGGCTAGGGTTCATGAGAGCTTCAGAGAGAATTGAGAGAGAAGGGGGAATTCAAGGGCGGCGGTAGGTGAATAATGAAGTAAGGTAAGGGGTCGTTTGGAATTAAAAAGAAAAGCGAAGCTGGTGGCCGTTGATCTAAATGATCAACGGCTGGGATTAAAGGGGTTAGGTAGGATCCGGGTTTGGGTAGGTTTAGTTGGGTTAGGGGTCGGGTTTGGGTTGCAATTGGGTTGGGAAATTGGGTCTGATTTGGGCCCAATTTTAGGCTGAAATTGCAAGCCAAATCTGGCTAGATTTTAAATAGTCATTTTTCCTATTTGATTTATAAAAAATAATAAATCAATTTCTGAAAACAAATTAAAAGCATTAAAACGATTTATAATATATAATTAATAATTTAAAAATACATGACTTAATTTTATGAATATAAACGCAGTTAAATCTTAAAAGAGGCTAATATTGCAATTATATGCAATTTAGCTTTAAAAATACTAAATAGATTTGTAAAAATATGCAAAAATTACCTTAGCTATATATTAGCATAAATGTGAAACTTCAATAAATGAGCTACCAAATATAATAATTTTGGAAATTATTATTGGGTTTTTATGGATAAAATAGGGAAATAAATTGATTTAAAACCCTTAAAAATTATGGAAAAAATAATAAAACACTTGGGCATACTTATATATACATACATATGCTATTTTTAAGGTATTTTGCATATTGAAAAATATATAGGAAAAAATTGGGTGTCAACACATGGCTGCTCCACCAAATTTTGAAGAAGGTCAGTCTACGTATAGACCACCCAGGTTCAATGGGCAATACTATGGGTGGTGGAAGATAAGAATGCATGACTTTATCATGGCAGAAGATTATGAGTTGTGGGATGTTATTTATGATGGTCTTATGTCCCAATGAAGAAGGTTGGAGACCCTCCAATGACGATGCCAAAAACCAGGAAAGAATACAACGACGCAGATAGGAAAGCTATTGAGAAAAAATTTCGTGCCAAGAAAATTTTGGTGTGTGGCATAGGACCTGATGAATACAACAGGATCTCAGCCTGTCAATCTGCCAAGGAGATATGGGAAGCTTTGCAAAAAGCTCATGAGGGAACCACTCAAGTAAAGCAATCTAAGATTGACATGCTCACCACCGAGTATGAACTCTTCAAAATGAAGGACAGCGAATCCATTCAAGACATGCATACAAGATTCACTTCTATCATAAATGAGCTACATTCGCTTGGTGAAATCATTCCTAGGAACAAGCTCGTGAGGAAAATTCTCAGTGTCCTGCCCAGTTCATGGGAGAGTAAAGTGAATGCCATTACTTAAGCAAAGGATTTGCAAGAGCTGGCCATAGATGAGCTAGTCAGAAATTTGAAAACCTACAAAATGAAGAAGAAGAAGGACAATAAAAGAAGAGAACCAAAGAAGGAAAAGAACTTGGTACTCAAAGCTGAAAGCAATGACTCAAGTGAGGAGGATAGTGACATGGCTTACTTAACCAAAAGGTTTCAGAAGATGCTCAGAAGAAACGGAGGGATACCAAAGAGACGTAGTTCCAGCAGACCGAAGAATTATGACCTTTGACATAAATGTGGAAAGCCAGGGCATTTTATCAAGGATTGCCCTTTCCTGAAGCAAGAACATTTCAAGTACAACCCTGATAAAGCAGCAAAGAGGAACCCGGTTCCTGACAAACGCTTCAAAAGAAAGAACGTCGCTGACAATGTTGTGAAGCAAGCTCTTGCAGCATGGGGAGATTCCTCCAGTGGGTCTGAAAAAGAAAAAGATACAGGTGATAGCTCTTTGATGGCAGTTGAAAGTGAAGCAAATGAATATGATTCAATATTTGCTTTGATGGCTCAATCATACAATGATGAAGATGATGACAATGATGAGGTAAACTTCAGGGATGTTCAGAGAATTCTAAAATCCTACTCTCCTAAGAAACTCATGTCATTAGCAAATGTGTTAATTGATGCCTATCATAGTCTTGTAGATGATAATGATGCCTTGACCATAGAGTTAGGAGATGTTGAACAAACTAGAGATGACTTGGTAGTGTGCGTGGTTGATTTGAAGGAAACAATAAGTGACCTGGAGAATGAAAAGGTGGCTTTAACTGAAAAAATTATTAGTGTAGAACATGAAAGATACGACTTGATGGTAGTAGTTATTGACCTAAAAGAAACCATGGAAAATCTAACTAAAGAAAAAAATGACTTAGTGGAAAAAATTGATGCCTTAGAGCAAGAAAGAGATGACCTCCTAGTTGTGATTATAGATTTGAGGGAAACAATAGAGGAACTCAAAGCAGAGTGGTCTGGGAAGAATGATAAAGGAAAAGGAGTTGCTAGTGAAGCACATATCAGGCTAGAAAATGAATTAAGTGCTGTAAAAATCAGTTTATGTGTTGAACTTGAGAAAACTAGACAACTCCAAGCAGATTTGGATAGAGTAAAAAATGATCTTGAAAAGTCTCTTAAGTGGACCTGGTCCTCGAATGTTATTACTGCCATGTATGTTCACAATGGTGGAAACAGGCAGAGAATAGGGTTTCAAAGGGAGAGAACTCCTTACAACCCCCATAGCAAGTATGTTATTGTACCCGATAATTTCCTGTGTACCCACTGTGGGAACAATGGGCATTCCAAAGAAAATTGTCAAGCCAGGGTTCAGTCTCTTCAGAAAAATAAAGTTTTTCTGAAAGAGTAACTACTGAAAAGGGACCAGGTGCCACTCATAAAAAAACGCACGTTACCTGCTTGGACTAAAAGAGCACTTATTCATCCTCTTGCTTATTACAAGGGACCCAAACTTGCTTGGGTTCCTAAATCTAACCCTTGATTTCTTTGTGCAGGGAACAGTAAAAGGAAGC